GATAAAGAAGAATCGGTCTGTGTAAGAGAGTGAGGAAAAGGACCGCGATATCGTGAATCGGCCTGGTCTACGGAAACCGCCTTCGCAGCCCGAGACAGCCAGATATCTCGGAATGTTTTACACCTCATTAGGCAACAATGTGTTGTTGCCACGGTGAATTATATCGGGCATGAGACGCCCGTCAAGACAAATGGCTCGAACCGGAGGTAATTGTGGGCTTTTATTAGCTCTGGTTTCTCCCGTTGGCTGCGAATCGCGCAACGCGGGAGACGCCGAGCCAGCAGCGCAGCGACAGCAGCAACCCTTCTAGCTCCTTCTGCTCCTCCCGTCCCACCGTCCCTTACATCCACCATCACCACCCACTCCTCGCCCCCATCTCTAACCATCGCACCGTTGCTTTCGACGGTGCGTAATTACTCGCGTGACAGTAATGCGGGAATGCGAATCTCGCCTCTCTAATGCCTGCAGAGTCATCCCTTCCCTTTATATTTACTTCCTGCGCTCGTTGCGGCACAGTCATCGTTTGATTGCGTTCCCTTCGACTTTTAATTCAGCCGATTGCTGAAAGATTAGAAGAGAATCTCGAGAGTCACGATCACGAAAATCTAATCGTTATTCTTCGACAAAGCTGACGTCAATTGTGTTAGACTAAGGATTAGTGAGAAAATCTTGTATTATGTAATAAATTAATAAAAGGATCGTAGATCAGAGAGACAACTGATCCACGGAATTATAAAAAATTTATTAATCAATCGATTGTCTACAAACAAAATTTTATTATGTTTCTGATTAATTACTTGAATTAATTCAAAAATAATTAAAGATTAATACTTTGAATCTGAGAATATAATTTTTATTTTGATCTTTATTTTACACAATGTCTTTCTATCTATCTCGACAATTGTAAATATATAGCGCCATTTCTATGTCGTAATCTTTCTATTCACCAAATATCTACGTAAATTAAATTGCAGTTTTTTAAAAACTTTTGCGCACAAAATTAATAATAAATTTAATAATAATGTATATAATAATATATATAAGGTATTTTTAAAAATAACAACGGATAACAAGAGAATTGTTGTGGAAAAAAGTTAGTGACAGGAAATCATGGAATAAGATTGTCATTACTTATATGTCCTCCCTAGCAACGAGCGAAACCACATCCGCGTTTTCGAGGGGAAAGTACAGGCTTTTGAAAGACCGTATTTTCTCTCTCATGACGAGAGAATGGCTATCCACACGTTATTACGAGTCGCTCGCTACATATGCGGGCCAAGCTTGTCTCCCTCTCTCGCTTGTTGCCCCGCGACTCATGTATTTATGCATTTCCACCGACTGGTTGCTCCTTGACTCGCATTCACGCATACATGCGGGCGAAACTGCGTCGCGAACAAGCGTAAATCGCCCATATTCGCTTTGTACAATAAAGAAAAATAATATATTCAATATAGACGCAAAGAGCTTGATTTTTTTTTTTAAAGAGGCATCAATAAAATATAAAAAAATATACATACAAAATGTCGTGGAATATTTTTAAATTGAGATATCAAAATGAAATTTTCCCTTGGATTAGAGAAAAATTAGTTATTGTGATTCCTATTAGATACTCAGATACCTGGTTACCTTTTATTATACGAAAGCCATATTTATTCATTGTATTCAATTCGGATTCACTTACGATATGATTTATTTACTACGAAGGCGTACCTGGAAGCTGGTGATGGGAATTTATTGGAGGCGGAGGTTGCCCCCTAAAAGCCGGAGCGCGATATCCAGAGACGGAGAGATGAAAGAAGAACGCGAAAGGCGAAGGATGAACGAGGAAAGAAATTATGAGAAAGACAGCAGACCAGGGGAAGGGAAGATAAAGGGGGTACGTCCTTTCCTCATATTCTGTATCCTATATGGCTCGTAAAAGTTTGTAAGGACGTCTTCCGAAATGCAGATTTATCGCGACGCTTCTGTCTTGCGAGTCATTATTTTTTTTTAGAATTCTCTCTCTACGATTGAGTAACATTATTACTACACAAATTAATATGCAGAGACATATTGCAAAAACAGCGCAATTTTTTTCAATAAATTTGGAATTATTTTTTATTGGTGGAAATTTAATTAAATCGTCAATTTTTATATTTTTAATTTTTGATATATATTAATTATATATTATTATTATTATGATAATTAACTTTCTTGAGCTATATTATTGCCATAAAATTAGCAATAAGCATATTTACATAGTTTTGAACAAATATTTATGATATTTATACATCATTTATATCGATTGAGAGAAACCTTTTATATATATAAGGGAGAAATTTAGATAAGGGAGAATATTAGATCAATAATAGAGCATACATAGTGCTTCTTTATCCAGCAATATTGAATTTTTATTCGTCTCCTGTAACTGCCGGTCACACTGAGCTAGCTTGCATTGTGCTTTAAAATGCATGTGCGACTTAAATCAAGATGACAATAATTGTGCCTAGTAGACACGGATGACCGACCTCGAAACATTTGTTCGTTCGCCCTCTTCTTATAAATCATCCATTATTAGATTTTTCGATGATAAAGAAGCAGCTGCAATGTTGAAACATTTCATTACATTTATTAAATTATTAATTGCGTTATAAATATGTCATCCTGTAATGTTTTTATTATTTTAATCGAGAAATTATTTAATTAATAAATTATTATATAATAATATTTTAGAAAATTATTTAAATAAACTGTCTCATACATATGCATTTATTAGTAAATGTATTACTTTAAAGCATTTAAACTTATGCAATAGAGGATTAGTATTTGCACGCGAAAATACGAGAAGACCTCGAGAATTGCAAAGCAAAACCAGCACTAGTTGTGCTTGCCAATTTACGCGGAGCGGTATTTCGGTCGATCGACGGGGGCACAGAATGCCACAGGGTGGAATAGCGGTTGGGCAGAGAGGGAAAGGTGGTAGGGGGTAGAGGACACAACCCCCCATGAACCCGAACATGAATTAAAGTTTTAATTTCTCTAAATCACTGTTCGCCCTCGAGCGCTTTCCACCAGACGGTCCGTTACTTATAGCCTTTGCCCTTTTTACCGCCTTCTTTTTTCCCATTCGCCTCGATCTTACCAACCCTCGCCAATAGGGAGAAATCGATATGCACTTATCCGATGACTCTTGAGACTCCGAATAACGAGTCCTTCCCCTTTTTTCTCGTTTCTTTTTTTTTCTTTTTTTCTCGCGTATACTTCCGAGCGATAAGCAGAACTGCCGGAAATCGTCCGATCTCGAATATTTTAAGCTTGCCGCGATATTGCCGGATTTATATTTATATAGGACTATATTTATTCAAAGAGTACACGCACAAGTTTATCTACTTTCTCCATTACCGATTATCCACGCTTTTTCAGTGAAAACATATTTAATATTTTTATGTAAATTGCGATGAAATTACTTCAGTGGAAAGTTGATCTAATCATCTTGCGTCAAAAAAGATTTTTAAATTATTTGTATGCAAAAAAGCAATCAACAAACTCTGGTTAATATACGATGTTTTTATATATATTGTTTACTTTTTTAACTTTTACATCAGCTTCAGAGCTCTTCGCGTTGTGCGAATGAGAGAGATAATCCTGCACAGAATTCACAAATATGTACACATGAAGAGCTATATTCATGAAAAAATATTCACTCTCTATCTCTCTCTCTCTCATGTATTCCACACCAATCGATCTTTTACTAAATAATTCTAGATGGAAATAAAAGTACAATGCGAACAAATTCAAAAATCGTTTAGTAGGCGGTATCACGAAACGCACGGCGGCAATCTCGCCCGTGTTTTCGGGCTGAAAGGGAGAAACGGGGATTGTTCATTTAAAATCATGACGTCGGCCGGAGGGCGCTGGCACGGCGGAGGCGTTAGTATTAACGTTAGGTACCACACCGGTCGGGCCACCTACAAGAAGTTCACGCAGCTCCCTTCTTCAACCCCCCTCCCCCCACCCCCCTCAACCCATCCCCGTCTTGTTCCCTACCGGGTGACATATTGTTTCCATTCTGCTCTCTCAGGCTAAAGCGCAATAAAAAACTGGCATAAATATCGCCTCTCCTTCCTTCCCCCTCTTCGTCTTCCTACGTAGCTCGCTACGCGATACTCTGCGAAACCGAGCCGACAATAACGGAGAAAACGCCCGGTGTAGAACTACACGAGAACACCATTGCTGTATATTGCTTGCAATACGCGGCAGTGGCGACTACTAATTTATTTGAGTGGCTTTTTGGACCGCAGAAAGGAAACTACAAAGATCGTAGTCTCCCCGGCGTTCTCCGCGAGAAAGAAAGAGAGAAAGAGACTTTTAATTTTCCTACATAAAATATAGAGTAGTGTTAATCATTCCCACTGTTTTCTCCATTAAGTGTATAGTGGATCATATTTAATTCCTTTCCGGTATATGTTGATTTCAATATTTCTTTCAGAGGCTTTTGTGAAATAATTCACGTTACATATACGCATATGATAATGCAGATATAATATAATGTTTAGTTTCAAATAAAAGACGGTTTTATATCTTAAAATTTCTGTTAGTTATTATGTATAGTATTTCTTCTAAATTATATTAATGATTATTATATAATTTTATTTTAGTTAAATAAAAAATTCACATTTGGGTTTAATCTGTTTCATCTGTTCGATGAAAATTATAAGTTAGTATCTTCATTGAAAAAGTTATTAGACATTGTTTCACAAGGTGTTTCAGTAAGACTTAATGAACATTTTACTTTAAGAGACTTTTAATTTTATTATTATATCATAAATGTATTACTTCACCGTACATTTTTTTGGTCTTAATTTATCATCTTCAGAGAGGAAAAGAAACAGAACTATTTTGGATAAGATAAAAATTGTGTGAAAATTTCATATATACCGTTCATTTTGATAACAATATCGGCAAGCTTAAATACTTCAAAGGAATAGCTCCAGAAAAATTTATGTATATATATTACTTACAGCGTAACAGGTTCTTCGGGGCTAGAAGGCGAGATGGAGAGCGACATGGTAGTAGCGGTCAGGCATCGTGATGTTCCCGGAGACCTGACTCGATCGTCCACCTGCAACAATATATAATTAATTAGCACTTGTATTAAATTTATAGATTTAATATAAATTTTATGAAATATTTATGTGATAATCGAAGAATTGAATTTCAAAGATAGTATATTAACGAGAATGATTAAAATGTACAAAATTTTTAAAAGTGATACGCGACGATATATTAAATAGAATCTGTTTTTTTGTTTTACACAATGATTAAAATGACTGTCGCGATTTCCAAGAGATTAATAACGAGCATGGACCGCTCTACGACGATCGCAGAGAGAAATAAACGTAGCCTCAGGCAAGTGGACCAGACTCGCGGCACAACCGACATCAATCTGAACGAGCGCGGGCCCGCACCCCTAACGATCCACCGAGTCATATAAATTTTATTGCCATTTCATAAATCCACACGACCACCGCGAATAACCGTCCGGGAGCTCTCCGAGAGATTATCAGGAACGTATAAAGTTGCGAAACGTCGCACGGTTACGGCTCGCTCGATCGTTTCTGGACGCTTTTGAAGCAATTCTCGAGCATGATTGCGCGAAAACTTTTAGAAAAATATAATGCTAATTATCATCTGACTTAAAAAGCGATCAAGCTGTTCAGATTATTGGGATTTTATATCTATTTTTGAGCTTTTTATGTGATCGCTGTATAGAAAAATAGAAGAGTCTAACAAATTCATTGTTCTCATTATTTGTTTGCGTTTGAATTTTAATGGATATGTTTTATAAATAGGGTATATAATTTGTTTTTAATTTTTAAGATATATTTAAGAAAAAATTGTTGTTTAAGCAGCTGTTAATATCATTATTTTACTAATGCATATATTTTAATATACATTATCTTAATTACTTTTTTTATTCCATTTTATATTGCATTATGTATAAGTGATTTCAAGAAATTTATATAATAAGATATTAAAGCAAAGATATTTTTTTACATTAAAATCTTTTTATAATTTATAATTTTTTTTTAAATATTAACAAAACAATTTTAAAGTATAGAATAATTGATTGTGTATTTTTACTGTAATAAATTTTATTCTGGATATAAGTAGCATAATACTCTGTGTAGTAATATGTTACTATTCAATAATTAATGTTCATCTGTTTATTAAGCAAAATGTTATTTTGCCAATGTTGCAAATTTCAATCGACAGTTTTTCGATCACAGCTGACGATAGAAGGTTTTACCACCGAAAGGTGTATTGCCTTTAATTAAGGAAAAATGTAATATGCACGAGAAACTAGACGAAGTTACGACGGCACCCCCGCGGCTCTTGAGCCACAGGGGTCGGTCGTTCCTGCGACCACAGAGGGTGGAACAAAGAAAGTTATCGCCGCGGAATTTTTATGCCGACGAGAGAAAGAAATGTAAATCAAGTCCTGATGCTCTCACTCTCCGCCATCGTAGACCGGGAAAGGATAAAAAAAAAAACTAAAGAATTTAAAAGTGTCGCAATCTTGTCAAAATTTCGAAATCCGCGTGCATAAAAATTAATATATCTTAATTAATATAATATAATGTATCTCTGCATATAAATCTAAAAAACATATCAATGTCATACAGATTGAATGCAGAATTTTATTTATTTATAGTTTTGAAATTTAATTCGGGAAATAATATTATATTTATTTTTGATTTAAACAGTTGTCATTTTTATTACGACTTGCGATTTGTATAAAGTTATGCAATATATAATGATATGGAATATATTTTCTGTATAGCTTAATAGTGTCAATGCGCTTGAAATACGAACAGAACTGACTGATCAGTTATTCAACGACGAGAGAGCGTTAAAGAGATGAGACGAGGTAAAATCGAAATGTAATTAAGAGAGCAAATAATCCGTACCGAACGAACTCCGTAAAATGGATCAAAGAACTCGCGAACGAGAGCGAACACGATAGTCATGGAGAAAAGGGACGAAGGGGACGCGCCGACGAAAGATATCGGGGTGAACTACGAGGAACCGCGTCTCGCCTTGTCGTCGTCCTGTCTAGCCCGAAGGAGTAGGGCAACGAGGGGGCCTCGCCGGAGACCCTCGATAAATATTTCCGTCAAGTGACCGGGGTTGGAATTCAAAGAGAGTCGAAAGGTGGAATCGAGAGCGGAACGACTCCAGTCTGTCTTCGGGGATGAGGAACGCCAAAAAGGAAAACGAGCTCGAGGCCAGTATATTTGCGTTGCATTACATAGTTGCGCGTTTAATCAACCGTATACCCAGAAGGAGTTCGTTCAAGAAGGAAAAAGACTGCGTGAGATGAGAAGGATACCCGTTCGTGTATTGAAAGAAGAGAGAAGATGCCAGTTGCGTCTTTAGAGGGAATTAAAGGGATCTTGTTTATTGATTACACTCGTATATACGATATTTGTTTAAATCTTTTATGAGTACGGCAGATAAAAGCAGAAAAAAGTATGATATATTATTAGAATAAATTAATGGATACGTTAATGCATTTTCAGATTTTAAATAGATTGATTAAAACAATTTTTTATTAAAAATGGATGATAAATATACATTTTATTTCATTTATAATAAATAATAATTGTAAGTATTTATTAAAGTACTAAACAACACAACGGTTATACTAAAAAAATTAATAAAAATTATAAAATTAACAATTATATATCTATTTTTCTTTCTTATTTTTTTCTATGATGATGAATGAACAAGATTATTCAAATTCCTAGCACGATATTCTGAACCAAGGAAAAGGAGCGAAGGGGATCGGAGAAGGAGAGAAACAGACGCCTATGGAACGTCGATGGCGTGACAGATTGCCTCCAATATTTTCCACCACATACATCATAGGCAGCCGCCCGACTTTAGTTCTATTTCAGTGCTCGCAACCTCCTCCTTAATTGGCATCGCCCGCGCTGATCTCTACCCGTCTCGGTAACATAGAAGATTTCTCATCTCGTTAATACGCGTATCCGAATATGTGTTCTTGATGCAATCACGTCGAAAAGCCGAACTTTAAATTAATATACGGCTTACAGAGAAAAAGAGGTAGAGAGGGGTAAGGCGCGGTAATACATTGATAATAGAACGAAGGGTCGGTGACAAACTGCCGACCGCACTTTCATCGTCAGGGATGCGATTAGGGAAAAATTCGTCCTGTTTTAATGGGGAGTGAAAATTAAATACCGCGGTGTCCACCCCTTAGGTCCGGCCACCTAATAATTCATACGTGGAATGTAAAAAGGGCAGAGCGCGCCCTTTTCCACGAGCTCGGAGAAAGCGCGGAGGAGCGCGGAGAAACGCGGCGGAAGTCAAGGGGGTAGAAAAATACGGGCTCCTGTTTATCTTGAGATTTGTAGCCGCCTTGTCCCCGGTATTTATTGGCTGCTCCCCGGGAGTAGGAA